TCCACTCAGGAAGTGAGTTTTTGGGGCGCGGATTTGATCGACCTTTGCTCCCTATCTAATAGACATTTGGATGTTTTGCTTTTCACCATTGCACTTGCCTTTACATGGGTGTGTCTTTTTTTGAGGGTTCCCGATTCTGTGGTTTTAAAGCGAAACAAAAAACGAAAACCACATCTATTTTTTTGGGGGGAGGTCTGGACCCCCTAAAAAAGACACATCCGCATTGTGATATGCGTTTGTCAGGGGATTCAACGCCTAGTTCTGAACACCTGAGTGACTAATCCGCGGTTGATACAACTAAAGCAGGCGTCCGCCGAGAGGAAGCCAACCAATTTTAGGTCTGTATTTTGGGAAACACTCACTGACCTTCCAACCAGCAAAAAGGGATGAACAGGGGATGATGTGGGATCAACGAGAAGGGAGCACTTCCTTTGAGCAAGAAAGGTGGAGGGGAGGGGAGGGGAGGGGCTAGGAAATGTGACGCCAAAAGCGGGGCCCAATCCACAGATCAGGTGGGCGCTCGGTTTTGTGGGAACACTGCAGTGGGTTTGTGAATGAAAACAGAGAGAAGCTCTCGTCCCACGGGGACCCCTTTGTTTTGGGTTCTCGAAAGTGGAGCTGTCGTTGCAGTGGACGGTTTGGAGTGAACTTGCAGGTATCCCTGGAAGCGTCAACGCGGGCAGGGGAATCGGGCTGTTGACTGCCAAGACAGTGAATTGGGACTTTGCCAGGGAGCCGACGCAAATGAGGCAGATCAAATCTCGATCGACCCTACAGAGGACAAGACGACCAAGAGCAGACCAACCGCCGACCAGGAGAAAGATGTGCCAACGATTCTCCACAGCAAGGTCAAATCGGTCTGCGAGACCTGCTTGAGACGGCACTTGCCTGTGTTGAGTCGTTGAGGTGTCAAACATTCATCGGGGACAATGACCAGAGTCACCCGGAAGAAGAAGCTACATCATTAAGCAAGACCAATGGTAGGTTCAGTCCAAAGCAATGGTCGATGGGGGCAAGAACTCACGGCCATAGGTGTCCAAAAATGGGGTTGGTTCGTTTGAACATACATGGGTTCCCCTGGTTTGACTTCGGTTCTACTCAACCATTTTTCTCCAAAAGGACACCTATGATGACGGCTCATTAAGCTTAATCGGCAGAGCTTCAATAGCCGAGAGTGAAACCACAGCCGTGCCCCAATCTCAATGCCAAAGACGGCCTCAGGCCTGATGGGCTTGCTGGTTGGGAGGGAGCATAGGTGTCCTTTTGATCAGTTAGTTTGGTTAGACACAGGTAGTGCTGGGTTTAGATAGGTGCTATAAACCGTTTGCCAGGGACACCCATCTATTTTTTCAAAAGGTCCCCAATGGAAGGGAGGATTCAGGCAGCTGGGGGTATCCAGGACACGGTGGGGGGTCTATGGCTCTCGGGATTGCGACATCTTCCCTGTTGAGTTGGCAAGCCTTGAGCTTTTTGGTTCCCAGCCATCCCCTCAGTTTTTTAGGCCTCCAGCTTTGCAGCTTTGTTTGGGCCTGTTAGCGGGTTTAGTGGTTGGTTTTTTTTAACACAAGTTAAGCTCTGAGAAGGGGATCCGCAAACGGACAGCCCAATCCTGATTCATGGCTTTTCCGGCCAGTCCTTTTGGGGGGCTGTTGGCTGATGCACTACTTAAAGCACCAGCTGGGGCTTTATCGGGCAGAAAAAAAAGCGTCTCATTCCTCCCAAGTGGTGCGTGCCAAAGTGGATTTTGCAACCATAAGGCAGCCCCTGTTTTATTTCCCGGAATGGGGGGTTTGGGGGACCAGGAGCTTTTTGAGGGTGTGTGTTTTTTGAGGGCACCTTGTTTGGGGTTGATCTAAAAGGGAACCACATTGTACACACCCCCAAAGAGGAAGGGGTTTCCTTGAGGAGACGCCCCAGCTTGGTGGTTCGCAGCCATCCGTTTCCTCAGTTTTGTTTAAGCATTTTAATTGGTTTAGTGGTAGCTTCCATTCACCAAACAACTAAATGACCGTGCTCCCAGCCATCCCCTTACTTGCTTTTAGCTTTCTGGGGTGGGGGTTAGTGGTAGTTTCCAAAAGCAAAAACCCACTAACACTTAGTCACCTTTAGCAAGCGATCTGAAAACGGACAACCGAGCCAAGGATTTGTTGTTTGCGGTCAGGCCTTGGGCCAGCTCTCCTCTCGCGGCCGCGCTGGGGCCACAGGGCCGTCGAGGGTTCGCGTTAATTTCAGGCTGAGGAGAAGGAGGAGCCAAAACTGTTCTGTTGGGTTTGATTTGAGCTATGAGATTGGTGCCCCAAAGGTCTTGCATCAGTGATTTAAGTTTGAGGACATGGGTGACAACCCAAGTTTCCCATAGGGTTGGTCTCAACATCGGAATCGGAACCCCTAGAATGCTGAGTTTCAGCAAGATTTCCCTTTAAAACCAACCTGAAGGACATACTTTCAAAGGAAGACACACCCATATGGCTCCGAATTTTATGAGGTGGAACACCCTCAACTGTCTTCTCTGGGTGCTCCAATTACCCACAAGTGGAGGACCCTAGGCTCCGTGTTTTGGTTTTTCGGCGGCGTGTCGAGTTTTGCTTGCAGCTGCGAGTCGCAGGCCAGCTCTCCAGCCAGGCAGCTCATCCGTACGCAACGGCTATGATTTTTTGGCGTACGAATGCCTGGACGGCTTGGGCCTGGGACGCGGGAAGTCCAAAGGTGGCAAGAATGCATCTTTGCCACGCCAGCACCCTCAATGCTTTGCACGCCAGCACCGGCCGGACCATTCTTGGCGGATGTCGAGCCTGGTACTGCGGCATTGACCTCTTTCGAGAGGTTGCCCTTGTTGTAGGACGCCCGCCCATCCTCGGGTCTTTTAAACATGATGTTCTCCAGATGTGGTAGATATGGGCGCCAGAATTCAACATATGACGTTTGGGCGGGGCAAAAGCTGGCTCCGACCATGAGAGCTGATTGCCCCAAGAGAAGTTACGTCTGGGAGCCAGGGAGCTGGGGGCCGGCTTCAAGGGAACCCGCAAGGACTCTTTCTGTAGGATTCCCAAAAATTTTGGCTGGACCAATGGTTTCGTTTGGCCAGAAACGAGGGTGGTTCACGTTTTGGGATATGTGCAATTCAAAAACGCTGGTTTCCTGTTGGCCTCTCTTTAAAATCACTCAAACATGGGGTGCTCTCAAAAAAAAACCCACCCAAACTTAGGAGGATTTGAGGAGGCAAGGACTAGCTCGCCAAGATGTCAGAGGGGCCTCATATTCTCAGAATGTTCCCCGCCGTTGTTGTTGAGGCCTTTCTCTTTGAAGCCCGTCGGTTTCAGGACCAGCGCAGCAACATGATGTTTCAAGAAACATGGCTTCAACATGTGAAACAAAAACACCATTGTGACCGTTTGAGCGCCTCATAGGGGCCGTTCGGAGAGACACATTTGGCTATTCAACCTACACAGATCGAGCTCGACCTTTTAGCTCATTTGGGGCTTGGAGCACAGGCAACGATTGTTTCGATGAGTCGCCGGATGTGTATCGTGAGTGGTTGATCCAAAGGCCCGGTGAACACGGGACCATTGAGGAAAACCCGCAATGATAAGCCATGGGAATGAAACCAGGTTTGTTGGTTGCCCCTGTGACTCCTCATTCCAGACGGTGGTTGAAAAACCAGAAGGTTTGTTGGGTATATTTGTTGGGAATCAGGATCAGAATCAGAATCCGGAGTTTCTGAATGGGAGTGCGAAATGGATTTCGCAACTCTCCACAGTGTGGACATTTCGTAGGCCTTTGACGAGTCCTCCGACGGCGTGGTTCGCAGCGAAGGTGGGCCGCCGGCAAGAGAGTTGGCGCAGGGATTCCAACCGGCCCCAAAATGGGCGTCGCTTTGTCCGGTTGGTGTCCCTACCTAAAATGGGCGGTTTCCTTTTGGTTTCCCTTCTCAAACATCCCAAAATGGGTTGCCTCAAAAAACAAACCGAGCCACCCACGTGTGGCACTTGGGACGGACTTTTTCTGCCCCTGGCGAGCTCTCTCGCCGATGTAAGGACTGAAGGTTTGGCAACGTGCCGATGCCTGGTGGCTGTGTCTGTTTTTGAGTTGCTACCCCGTCTTTTTGGTACCTGGTTTTAGTAAAGGGAAACCAAAAAGAAAACCGACAACCGAAGCCATTTGGGAGTCCCCGAAAACAAGTCTGCCACTTTTTTTCAGGGCAGCAAAAAAGACAAACGAAGCCAATTCCGGGGTCCCCGAAGAAACAGACACAGTCATTGTAGGCATGCGTGTCTGACACCTTCGCTGTCATGTGTTGAGCCAATCGCGTCCGTATCGCCGGGCCCTGTATGTCTTTGTCAAGAAGTTGAGAGCCACTTGTGAGTGACCAAAGGGAAGCCAAACAAATCTTGGTGGCTCCCAGCCGTCCGATTCCTTAGCCTTTTAGCTTTTTAGTGTTTAGTTGTAGTTTCCATTTAACCCACTAAAAATTAAACTTTTAGCGGGGCATCTGAGCCCAGAAATAGTTGTTTCAGAATCCCTCCTCTTGAACACACATTCTGGCAACAAATCTCAAGAACCAGTTGCCCCGGACCAAAAATCTTCAAAGGGAAGGCTCGAAGCAGCAAGCTTCAAAACCATGGAGCCATGCCTAGATTTGCCACGGGTCTAGAGGCACTTTAAGCGCCAAGCGAAGCGGTGCCGGGTGCCCGGGTTGCCGCGCTGAAACGGGCAGAAGGGGAGAGCTTCCGTTCGATTCGATTGAATCGCTCAGACGCGCTTTTCTTGATTGGCTCATTGAAGGGCTTGCCTTTTTAAGATGCGAAGAAACTGCGTTGGCAAGAGCTGTGAATGTTTTCGAAACTGCTTAGGTTCTTGAAAGCATGGGTTTCCCCCCCCCCCCCCTCAATTTTGCTGTGCACGGACTCCGTGTCGCAGCTTCTGCACCACACCGACTCCAACAAGAGGCATCCCCCCCAGCGACCAACGCCCAACGCCCAGCGGCCGGCGAGCGCCGAGCCATGCGCCTCTGGCTGCTGCCGCTGCTGGCGGCAGCCTCCGGGGCGCTTGAGGAGGTGCCGGAGGTGCCGGAGGTGCCGGAGGCGCCAGAGCCGCCAGAGCCGGAGGAGTGACTTGCTGGTGATAGGCGGGGAAGCAGAGAAATGGAACCATGCCCTGCAAAAGAAAGGTCATACTCTTTCGTACCCTATATATATATATATGGTGTCCTTTTTGGGAATCCCAAACGCTGCATTGCCACAAACCGGACTCGTTGTCCTTCCCTAGCTGTCGCACCACGAGGAAGGTGTCGTGCACAGCATCAAAACTTCATTTTCAGGTGAATTCGAGCATATTTTGCCCGGATCTCTCTTGTTGGTCTCAAGATAGGGGGACCTCCAACCAGCTGGGTTTTTTTTTGGTCTCCCCATAACCCCAAAAGGCGACCCTCAAAAAAGACACACAAGAAGCACATGTCGGTAGGTTCCGTAGGGATGTATGCTGTGACCTTTCTAGAGAAATTATTTCGACCCGATTTTTAGCTTCCCCATCGAGCATGGCCATTCTCAAAGGATTGGTCACCCTGGGCAGGGTACTTGTTTTGGGCCATTGGAACGCCCCATTGGCGTGTAAAGGCAACTTTGGTTTCCCTTCTCAGACGAACATGGCACCAACCCCGTCCGCTTTTGGGGGCAACGCGCACCCCCGATATTGGTTCCTTCCGATGATTTGCCGCGGCAGCAAAGGAGGGCAACATTCTTCTTATTTCTTCTTGTTTCCCTTTCCATACATCCTGCATCGAGTCCTTTTCCAACGCTTGGAGATCATTTGGGGCAGGGCTCAGGAAAATGCGCCGATGCATGCAATCCAAGCCGTCGGTGCGAGCGTCAGGAGCGGGCGGCGAACTACAGCCTGAGTGTTGAGAGCTGCAGGATTGGGCATGGATTGGCCGTCGAGTCGATCAACACAACTTCCCTGACAGAGAAGCTGAGGGAATGAGAAATGGAATGACCCCTATAAACCATCCGCGATTTGGTTTCCTTTAAGGGAATCCCCAGGTTCATTCCATTCCCTACTTTTTGGGTTTGGACTTGTTTTGTCACGCACGAAGCGAGAGCCTGGAACCAGGAATTCATGGGAACCGAAAGGAGCTTCCAACAAGGCGCTTCCGGCCAGGTTTTACCAATGGCTTTCATTTCCCAACGGCTGAAAGCTATGGGGTCTTTGCCAAGATAGGCTCTGGGCTGGCTTGGGGCAGCTTTCAGGGTGGGTTCTGCAGGGTTCCGGTCTGGGGATACCACCAGGGCTTCAGCCGGGCTTCTGTGTTGTTTATAAGTGTAGGACGGAGGACGAGCAGGGGCGGGGGCCGTTCCAGACGTTCCGAGTTGCTAGAGCCAGCCGCATTTCCCGCTCCTTTCTCTGGCAGGGCACGGGCCAAACTTCGGGCCCCAAGTGAAGATCCTTACAATTGAGGTGTTCTCAAAAAGTTTTTTTGGGCAGTGGTTCCAGAGGATGTCACGTTGGACAATACCTGTTCATCTGGTTTCCTTCTGCGAATGCGCAGGGACGCATGTTACCCCTGGTGTTGTAAGGCTTATAGTAAGAATGTATCAACCTGCTCATCCATGTTGGTAGAACCTAAAGTTGGGTAAATACATCCATTTGTATGATGGTTGTTCAAACAAGCTTTGCACTAACCCTGGTAAGGCCCCTGTGGCGGCTGTGCCCAAACAAGCCGTGGCCAAACAAATGTGCCAACATACCTACAAATGGCGATTTTCCTTTTACCACATGTTTCCCTTGGGCTATATCGTGTAGTGAAAGCACAACCCATCATGTACACACTATATAAAGGGTATATACTCCATTTTCCCCTTTGATGTCGGTAGTGGTAACGGGAAGGACTGTGAACCAAAGGACTTGCTTTAGCTATTATACATTTTTAGGGTAGACTGAAACAGAATCTGAAAACATAAGCTTTCCTTGTTCCCCCTCTTTTGTGGGCCAAGTTAAATGGGCCAAATCGTAAGGACCCCCCTCCCCAAACAGAACCCCAAAGAATCTACTATATTCTGCATAAAGGGTACGCACTTTATTTTACCTTGGCTAGTGGTATCTTGAAGCAACCAAGCACAAAGAACCCCTGCAGCAATCCACGAAACCTCAAAGAACCACTATAGCTTGCAGCAATCTGATTCCCCCCATCCCCACTACAAAAAAACAAGAAGAAAACGAACAACACAAGAAGAGAAACACAGAAAAGCAAAAGAAGCAGCAAACAGGAGAATACCTTCCCCCCCCCCTCCCCCTCCAAAAAAGCAACAGAACCCGCCTTTTGTTTGGGTTGTTCCGTTTAGGAGGTACGTGCTGGAAGTGAGCTCCCACGGTCCCGGCTTCTACCAGGATGCCAACCTCCACCGCAGCTCGAGTGAAAATGTTCAAACCGGGGTGGACATGACTTCCGGTGGTTTTTGGTTTCCTTGGGATGCTTCCAACCGTGTTTTTTGTTTTTTGTTTTGTTTGTTTTAGACCTCCTCGCAAGTCTTAGAGTTTGGGACAATCTGCAATCCTTGGAATGCTTCCAACCCTTTCTTTTTTTGTTTTTGCTCCTTGGGGTTCGGAAGATGGAGGTCTTGGAGTTTGGGAAGATCTGCACGCGAGCTCGCTGACGTTTTTTGGCCAGTTCCGAGGCTACACAAGATGCCTCTTCGTCTTGCGCGGGGCACTCAGAAAGCTGCTCCACGCGGATCGGTTTTGGGCCCCACCCAAACCCATCCACAGAAGGGATGCCCAGTTGCCCAGTGGTCAACCCAAAAAAATGGATGCCCTTCTTTTTCCCTGTGGTTGCTGGGCATCTGAGGATGGGCTTTGCCTCCAGCACGGGTGGCAAAGGACTCCAAGAAAACGTGGTGGGGGGGGAGTTGCTGTGACTTGAGGAGATGAGAGCGCTTGGCCTTTTCGGCCAAGGGGATTGGCCCCGTTTGGGTGGAGCGGTGCGGGTTTCTGGAGGATCCCCCCCCCCCAGGCACTCCTCCCACTTTACGGCTCTCCCAAAACCCCGCCCCTATCGCCCTTACAGATTTGCGATGCGTGGCCAAACTGGTAAGTCAGTAGGTTCCATCCCCACTTACAACCCCTAAGTGGATTCAACCCCGTGCGTGGGTGTTTGGACTCAGGTGGCTAATCACTGGAACAAAGAAGTAGGGAATGCGGGAGAGTGACTCCCCTTGTCGTTGTTCGTTGCCAATATGGAACAAGATTAATTGGAGCAGTGCCCTCCGAGGTCATGCACCAGAGGCGCCCAAGGATGTCTTCGTAGGGGGCCAGCACCACCCCACCGTGGCAACTTCGCCTGAGATGGATTTGCGGGGGCTTAAAATACATGGCTGTGGGTCAAAAATAGGTACCCCAAATGGAACTCTGGTAAATGGAGACGTGGACTCAAACCTGCGGTCCCCTGGTGGCCTAATTTTGACCCATACCAACGTTGGAGGTTCTTGTTTTACGTAAGGAACACTCCGGCGAAGTGGAGCCTTTCAAATTGCAGGGGTCTCAAAATCGGGCTACCTCAACATGGCGCAGTTCGGTTTGCTGGGGGGTTTCCCTTTGACACCAACCAAGAAGACGGGGTACCAACTCAAAAAAAACACCCCTCCCACCGGGAGTTCTGGTCGACATGGTCCTCGAGTTGCTGGACTTACTGTTTGGTAAACATGGGCCATTTCCAACCAGCGCTCACATAGATACACCACTCACCGAGTTTCTTTAGTCACTTGTGTTTGGACCATTTGAGTGGCAAAAAACGGTTTGGACTTTTTTGGCCGAGGAAGTGAGGACAAACCTTGGCAGGGTCCTGGGCACTTCTCCAGTTTGTTTTGAAGGGACCCCTTGTAAGGTCGGAGAAAGGCAAACATCAAGAGGAAAGCTGCCTTGTTTGGTGCCCCCCTATTTTGATTCATGCCCAAATCCAAGATTTCTCAGAGTTTAACAGGGCATGGACCAATGGACGCTCCAAAGGGTCCTACTGAAATGTTATGTTGGACATGAACTTGTTACCAGACATCAACAAACATGTTTCGGCAGAGGTTTACGACTTGGCCCGTTTTGATCGAGGGGCATAGCGAGAACGTTTGAGTCCCTTGAACCGACTTGGACACTTGAGGCCGACATTGTGAGCCGTTTTTGTTCAAGCCGCCAGAGGTGTGCGCGCGCGCGCTCGCCTGTGTGTGTGTGTGTGGTCACCAGGGCACCAGACAGGGCCCCGTTTTTGTTGGATCAAATGAGGTTCTTCTAGTTTTGCTCCAGGCTTCGTGACATGACGAGCCAAGTTTCAGCTCCACAGAACGGGAGGACGGAACCCGAATTTTGCCATGTCCTTTAGGGCAACATCCATGTGCCTTCACCTCTAGTTTTTCTTTGGCTTCTCAAAGCCCGATACGGGATCGAGCCTCTTTGGTTGTGATACGTGCATGGGAAGTAACTGACCCCCCAAGGCAGGAAACCTCCAGGGTTTACACCCCCTTTCAACCCCAGTCATTCCAATTCTACGGGATCAGCCGGTGGTTTTGAGCCGAAGGTTTCTGGCCAATCAGATGTCCTTAGTCTTTCAGCCAAAGCTGCACGAGTTGTTCGTTCCGCGGACTTCAGCCGGTGCAACTACTTGCAGTTGGCTGTTTCCAGGGCTGGCCTGCCAGGGAGCGTTTGGAGTCATCGGGTCCCCTTCAGCTGGGTTTTGCAAAGCCATAATCCGTGGGACACCACAAGGGAAACATGGCAAAAGGAAGGATCAAACGGGAACCCACTGAAAAAAGGAGCTCCAGGAGGGCGGTTTAAACAATCGTGGTTTCAGTTTTTTTCTTTCTCAAGTTTGACTCGATGTTCCAAGCCTTGCCAGCGATGCGAAGCTCTCGCTTCCATGACGGCGCGGGTGAGCCGATGGGCCTTTGGTATTCTGAGCGTTGCTTGCGCGCTGGCATATGTTTCGGCCGTTTTACCCAGCTCCAAATTCCTGGCGAAGGATGAGCTACGGATGGCGGGCAACTTGACGCTCGCAAGCAACTTGACACTCGAAAGTGCGCCGGGTGCAGAGGCTTCTGAAGTTGCGAACCCCAGCCCGGCAGCGGCTCCGCTGGCGCCGGTGGAAACATCGCAGGTTGCGACGAGCCCCACAGCAGCACAGGCGCCAAGCGTTGATACTGAGCAGGGCCTTCCGCAGGGGAGTCATATGCCCAATGTGCGCACGGGCGCTGGCTTGCGTTTGGCTTTGCTGCTCGTCGGTGCCGCCCGGACGCTGCTTGGCTCATTGCGACCGAATTGAGCGTTGAAACTTTCTGGGAGCTGACTTTTTGCTTGCCCACGCAGCAAGCAGTTCAACATTTTAACCTGTTGCCTTTTCCCCCTAGCCCTGGAAAGGAAACCAGGGTAGATGAGTTTGGCTTCGTTTCTTTGGTTTCCTTGATCAGTTTTCCTCAATTCGATCGAATAGAGCCTGTTTGCTGGGTCTCCGAAATAGTCTCATATGTCAGGGTCCCGAGGAAGCGTGAAGCAGAACATCTCATTTTTGGTGTGCCCCCGTCCAAGTTTGCCAGCCAAACGGTTTGAGAAGATTTCCAGGCTGTGTGCAGAGTTGGGCCAAGTACTTGGCCCCTGTGTTGTTTTTGATGTACATACTCTCAGGTAAATGGTAAGCCTTATTGTGATTTCGATTGGTGGGAACTGGGGATTTGAACCTCTGGTTCTTGTAGAGGCACCAATTGGAAGGAAGCTGATAGGTGTACAGAGTTGAGCGAAGTACCCCTATGATACGTGATGTACCAGATCATTCCAGGTAGTGGGCTATTTTAGGCCCACTGACCTGTGAGTCCCCCCGTTTCGAGAAGGGCCCCTTGGTGGGCTTTCGGTGTAGCCTTTGCCCTAGGCTTCAAGGCATCATTCAAACCAATGGGAATGCATATAACCACAATTGTTTACCTAAGGAGTTTCAGCTAAATTGGGTTTCAAAGGCGGGGTTGAGCCCGAGGGAATGCCTTTTTTGTAGCAACCCGTGGGTTTTAAGGAAATTGTTTTCATGGGAATCGGTTGAACCCGGCTTTGTGTACCTGGTGCTTCCAACACGGCAGGTTGTTCGGTGGTTTTTCGTTGGTTTAGCGGTTGGGATTCCGTATATCACCCACTAAAAACTCTCCCACCAACCAACAGGGGTCTGTGCACTTCCATGTTAGCTGGTGGGAGGGTAGTCACTGTTAGGGGATCTGAGGGCAGTGCAGGTGTATAGCCACTAAAAGTTAGTCACTAGCAGGGGATCTGAGGGCAGTGCTTGCTACTACCCACCCATCCAGCCACCCACCCAGCCACCCCACCCAGCCACCTGCCCACCAGGTTGGTGTACCCTATGGTCTGCGAGAACATCAAGTCGCGCTTGGTGGAATTGCAGCGGCCGGAGGGACATCCCACCTGGAAGGCGAGATGAGTTGCCCTCCGGAGAGCTGTACGCTTCAACTCGCGTTTTGTCCGGCTTTCTTTTCTTTTTTTAAGGGGGAGGGGAAGCACCCCTTGTAGGCATTTTTATTTAAACCTATTTTTTTTAAGGGGGAGGGGAAGCACCCCTTTTAAGCATTTTTATTTAAATCTATTTTTTGTAAGGGGGAGGGGAAGCACCCCTTTTAAGCATTTTTATTTAAATCTATTTTTTTAAGGGGGAGGGGAAGCACCCCTTTTAAGCATTTTTATTTAAATCTATTTTTTTTAAGGGGGAGGGGAAGCACCCCTTTTAAGCATTTTTATTTAAATCTATTTTTTTTAAGGGGGAGGGGAAGCACCCCTTTTAAGCATTTTTATTTAAATCTATTTTTTTTAAGGGGGAGGGGAAGCACCCCTTTTAAGCATTTTTATTTAAATCTATTTTTTTTAAGGGGGAGGGGAAGCACCCCTTTTAAGCATTTTTATTTAAATCTATTTTTTTTAAGGGGGAGGGGAAGCACCCCTTTTAAGCATTTTTATTTAAATCTATTTTTTTTAAGGGGGAGGGGAAGCACCCCTTTTAAGCATTTTTATTTAAATCTATTTTTTTTAAGGGGGAGGGGAAGCACCCCTTTTAAGCATTTTTATTTAAATCTATTTTTTTTAAGGGGGAGGGGACGCACCCCTTTTAAGCATTTTTATTTAAATCTTTTTTTTTTAAGGGGGAGGGGAAGCACCCCTTTTAAGCATTTTTATTTAAATCTATTTTTAAGGGGGAGGGGAAGCACCCCTTTTAAGCATTTTTATTTAAATCTATGTTTTTTAAGGGGGAGGGGAAGCACCGCTTTTAAGCATTTTTATTTAAATCTATTTTTTTTAAGGGGGAGGGGAAGCACCCCTTTTAAGCATTTTTATTTAAATCTATTTTTTTTAAGGGGGAGGGGAAGCACCCCTTTTAAGCATTTTTATTTAAATCTTAAATCTATTTTTTTTAAGGGGGAGGGGAAGCACCCCTTTTAAGCATTTTTATTTAA